AGCTGTTGTTGTGTAGCTGCTGTTGTGTAGCTGTTGTTGTGTAGCTGTTTTTTTTCCACAGAACATTGAAGCTTTTTCTGTCTGGAAACATCCTGTCGCTCATTATTTAGGTACATCCTGCAAATCGTGTGACTTGGTTTTCCTGTTTTTTCACCTCACATGACATAAAACGCAGCATTAAACCACAGATGTGCTCTTTTTAAAAGCCGCTTCCTGTAACAAAACTTACAAAAAGCGCACACGTTTAAACTCTTGATCTTGCCAAGCTCGATCGCATGATGAATCTAGTGTTTTAAAAATGAATTTATTTAGTGACTTACCCTAAAGTGTCTCCAGACAGTTCCAGGAGTTCGATCTCATCCGGGCCCACTTCGTCCACTCCGATGTGCCTCTGGGTCACGCTGCAGCATCCCATCACCAACAAACAGTGCGTCCAGACTCAGACACTGAGCACCATCTGCTGAGGCGGTCATCCAAACAGTGTGTGCCACATTAAAACCCGAGAGATAACGGGAAAATGTGTGTGTGCGGGGGGGGGGGGGGGGTTAAGAGGATATTGTGAAGAACAGCGAGAGAGAGGGAGTCAAGCGCCAGTTCCCTCTTTTTTTTTTTGCCAGTATGAAGTTTATGTTTCCTCTAAGTCCCGAGAACAAAAGCAAAAGTTGCAGGTCTTGAAGAGATGCTGAAACTAAAAGTTGGTGAGCAGTGGTTGTTCCTTCCTGTCAGTCTGCGGAGGACTGAGCCGCTTCCTCACTTTGCTCATTGTCCTCTGCGTTCGCCTGCTGGGAGCCTGACGACACGTCGCACCGACGAACACAAGTTGTTTGTGACGTTGCTGAGAAACAAGTTGACCAAATGAAAAGCACAAACCACATGACACGTCCTGCTGTTGATAACACACGGCAGGTGGATGAAGCAAGCTTCCTGTTAGGAAACCAGAGGCCACGCCTCCTCCCAGCCTGAACGTGTGCAGAGGCAGGTAAGATAATTATGAGTTGTGACACAGAGAGGTGAAGAGCTGCAGTCAAAACAAGCTGTGGACAGGAGACTGTGTCCTGCTCAGATGGGAGGGGAGTGTCCACGACGACGTACGGTGAACTGACAAATGTGTTTGTAAAAAAAGGTCACCCCATCACTCCAGGAATTTGAAGAGCCGAGTCATCCCCATCACATTCTCAACTCTAATAATAGTGTGAATGTTTATGAAGCATTCACATTCTTGTGATTCATTTTTCTTTCGTACATTTGTCACCGCTATTCTCATCCCACAGTTTTTAAGCTGTTTCAACAAATCATAAATCAAAACGTTCAGCTCTTTCAGGACAATCCTAATTTTGGTATTGGTGCAACTTTAGCTTTTTGAAATATTTAGCCTTTTCTGCCATTTTTTTCCTCATAGAAAAAAAAATTGAGCTCATTTTACATCCGTCAAATCTTTAGATCTGTTTACAACCTTTTACTGCTCCGTTCACATTTTGTTCTGCTTCAGCTTCTTTGTGCAAATTTAAACTTATTTTCAGCTACTTTCAGCTGTTTTTTTTTTATTGCCCTTTTCATATTCTTTCTGCTAACTACAACATTTTTGTGCTACTTCTAACTTCTTTCTGCTAACTCCACCTCTTTCTGCTCCTTTCAGCTTATTTCTGCAAATGTCAGCTTTTTTTTTTTTTTTTTTACTATTTCAGCTAAAATGTAGCTGTTTTGTGCAAAGTTTAGCTCTTTCAGCTATTTCCACATTCTTTGCACTGGTTTCAACTTTTTTTCAGCCTAATTCAGCAAAATTGTGATCTTTACACTTCCTTCTGGTAATTTGAGCATCTTTCCCCCTTTTTAGCTACTTTTCGCTTTTTTTTTTTTTTTTTGCTAATTTCAGCTTTTTTCAGATTATTTCCACTTTTTGTGCTCACTTCTGCTTCTTTCAGCAAATATGTTCTTTCTGCTTTCTTCAGCTAATTTAAGCTTGTTCTACCTTTTCAGCAACTTTTGTTTAGCATGTTTTGCTAATTTTTTGATGTTTTCAGATACTTTCAAGTTTTTCATTGTAATTTTTGCCACTTTCAGCTTAATTAACTTCTTTATGATAAGTTTAGCTTGTTATGCTCCTTTCAGCATGTTCACCTAGTTCCATCATTTTCTGCTATTTCAGCTACTATTTAGCTGTTTTTATGCTAGTTCGGGCCTGTTCAGCTAATTCCACATTTTTAAGCTAATTTTAGCTCTATCTACTTCCTTCCTGTAGTTTCAGCTTATTTTTGCCTTTTCAACTACTTTCAGCAATATTTTTTTGAATTTCAGCTTTTTTTTAGTTAATTTCCTAACTTTTTGTACATTTCTGCTTATTTAAAAGTAATTCAGCAAATATGTGTTCTTTATGCTTTCTTCTGCTAACTTAGGCTTGTTCTTCTATATCAGCTACATTTCAGCATGTTTTTAGCTAATTTCAGCTGTTTTTCAGCAAGTTCTTCAGCAATAAGCATTCATGCTGAATTTTTGCAGAAAATGCTTTTTCTCTGGATTGTTAGTACATTTCTTACATTTTCAAGTCAACTCTGTCTGTTAACAACATATCTCATGAACCACTGCACAGTTTTTAATGAAACTTTAAGACAAAGATCATTTGATGTACAGCTACACCTGGATAACTTTGGAGTCTTCTCAGTTTAAGATGTCTGTCACAAGAAACGGACCTCATAAAACACAGCAAATGTCTTTATTGCAGTCAGTCTTACAGACAGTGGTAGTAGTTGAGAGTCATCCACAATACATAGTTTGAGTGTGACGTCTACCAGTATCACATGAGATTGTTTAGTGTTGGTTTAAGGTTTGACTCAAGCGACGTCATCTCTCGACATGAGATGATCTTAGTTTAAAACTTTTGCATGAACTGAAGTTAAGTTTAACAATAACGTTAAGCTGCTGTATTCACACCCATCTGCTCACAACAAACTCATGTTCAGGCTGCTGTTTAATACGCTGTATTATATTATTATTGTTTAATGTATGTCTTAGATCCTTGTATATTGTTTTCTTTTTTATATAGTTTATATTTTTACTATTTTTGGGTGTAACTGGGACCTTGAGTACACAAATTCATTCCACCTCATGTACCACATGTGATGCGAATGACAATAAAGAACCTTGAGTGCAACGCTCATTAAATATTGAATTCAAATTTTAAAAAATCCAACATGGCCACCAAAGCTACATTTAAATGGCTTTAACTCAGCTGTTTTTACACAAACGGAGCTGAACTTTGGTGAAGTTATAGCTGAGACCGTTCCCAATCACTTACTGAATCCAAATCAAAAATCCAAGATGGCCACCATAGCTTAAAATAAATAATGACTATAACTAATTGATTTTTTGTTGCCATATTGAGCTAAATTTTGGTATAGTGGTAGCTGAGAGTGAACCCCAACACATATTACTGCCAAAATCAAAACTTTGAATTGTCAGCAGAGTGGCAGTCCTCGTCAAAGTTCCTCCAGGAACTTTCTAGTTAATTTATATTCCCTCTCATCGTGTGCATTTTGTGCACTGCACCTTCAAAAGGAGCGCTACGAACGAGCTGCAGGTTGTCTTCTGCTGAATACGAAAAGTTTATTTTTCATTTTAACTTGAGCTCAGCTCGTGTGTTTTTGCTCCTGACAGGAAAGAAGCTGCTGTGGACCTCCACCTGCTGAGACTGTGTTTGGATGATGAGGCCACTTGTTTGTGGAAGCGGTGGAGCTTTTTTGGACAATCCCTTCCTCCAGCTGCAACAGTCCCAGGATTACCAGGCCTCGCCACAGCAGCGCTCCTGCCCTTTGAGTCAGACTTGTTCCTCGTGTTGTAACTCCTCCTGGTAATGCTCGGACGCCGCTTATTAGTTAAGCGACACCTGTCAGCAGCCGAAGCAGAACCAGCAGCTAAAACTCCGTTGTACAGCAGCACAAAGTCCCTCTGACTAACCAGAGGAAAGATTTTCTGCTTGAGACGACGCTTGTTGAAGATCTCTAGAGTTAAATCTAGAAAAAAGCAAATATAAAGAAGTATTTTTACTCATACTAAAAGTGCAAAATTAAAAAAAAAAATTCACTGCACAAAAAAATCCCTTTAAAATAAGCTTAAATATGAAGGTTGAAGTTTTTTTTTAAACTAACAGAAGAATTAAACCTACAAAAGTAAAAGCTTCAAAGTTAGTTTTTGAATCATATTCACTTAATAAAAACAACAGACCAAAAAAAAAAAAAAAGACTAAAATAGAAATCTACTTCCTCTTTTTTTACTTTCTGTGTAATCTTTAAGCTTGTTATTATCCAGGTATCTGTATCAAATAAAGTCAAGTAAAATGTTTTCTGTGGGGGAAATTATTTGTCTGAAACTTGAGACTAAAAGGTTGGACTGACTGATTTCATCTGAACTGACAACTGGAGCCAGTAAAGAACCATGTTCAACAAATGGCTCTGATTCAAAAAGTAAATATTTATATTTGAAACATGGTAGAATTAAATTATATAAGAGCATAAAACATAAAAGTGAAGAAAAAAAAGTACTGCAGTTACATAAAGGTATTTAATCATTCTCACTGAAAAGAAACAGGAAGCTCTGGTGGTTTAACACTTTGAAGCGAGTTAAGTAACAGTGAAGTACAGTAATAGTAATATTGATACAAACTGTGGAGGAATATGAGTATCTTTGGTTCAGAGACACCAATTTGATGCAAACAAAAGCTCATTTAGGTTTATGATCTGCAGAACGTGTAAAATTATTATGATTTGAGGTCTGAACTTACCCAGAGTCTCTACGACCGTGCTGGGTATGACGTCCTTCAGCACCTCACAGTTTGTGTGCAGAGCCGGATTACAGTTCATCTCCAGCAGCCACACCTACAGAGACCACATCAGCCTGACTCACAGCAACGCTCAGTACGCACATCGCAAACTTTAGCTGCGGGTTCATTAAAAACAAAAACGTTCTCAACACTGAGTGATCTGCAATGTGTTGAAGAAGGAGCTTAAACTGATATGTAGCTTAAAAGAAGCAGAACATAGCATACAAGCTATAAGAAGCACACAGCTAAAAGCTAAATGCAGCCAAAGGCTAGCTATAAGCTAAATGTAACAAAAAATGGCTAAAAGCTAAATGCAGCCAAAGGCTAGCTATAAGTTAAATGTAACAAAAATAGGCTAAAAGTTAAATGCAGCCAAAGGCTAGCTATAAGCTAAATGTAACAAAAATTGGCTAAAAGTTAAATGCAGCCAAAGGCTAGCTATAAGCTAAATGTGACAAAAAATTGTTAAAAGCTAAATGCAGCCAATGGCTAGCTATAAGCTAAAAACCATACCATACCATTTTATTTATAGAGCACTTTAAACAGCTACAAAGCCAACCAAAGTGCTGTACAAACAAAACAATAGACAACACACGAATAAATATACAAAATGAAGTAAATCAAAAACATGGACATAAAAACGATGCAGATAATAAATATGACAACAAACCAGTGTGGACCGTACAGGTTCAAAACACAGATCATCTGGTGTTGAAAGCTACTGAATGGTAGTGAGTTTTTAAACGGGATTTAAAAACCGAGAGGGAGGGGGGCCAGTCTGACAAGCAGAGGTAACTCATTCCAAAGTCTTGGTCCTGCTACAGAGAAGGCCCTGTCACCTCTGCGCTTAAGACAAGTTCAAATGTAACCAAATAAAGAAATGTAAATGTAACCAAAATTGGCTAAAAGCTAAATGCAGCCAAAAGCAATCTATAAACTAAATGTGACAAGCTTTATTTATCTTTTAGCCAAATTCTGTTACATTTGGTTTATAACTAAATGTAACAACAATTTGGTTAAAAAGCTAAATGCAGTCAAAGGCTAGCTATAAACTAAAAGTAACCAAATTTGCTAAAAACTAAATGCAGCCAAAGGTTACCTATAAACTAAATGTAACAAAAATTGGCTAAAAGCTAAATGCAGCCAGAGGCTTACTAGAAGCAAAGGCAGCAAAAAAAGTAGCTGAAAGAAAAAAAGAGGCAAATAAGTAGCTAAATGCTAAAAGCACAAAAACCAACAGTCATACCTTTCTCCTGAATGAGTTGCATTATAATGAACAAGTAGCTAAAATAGCACAATTATACAGTTAGAATGCAAAGAATGAAACGGGAAAATGTACATATATATATATATATCCTGTGATGGACTAGCGACCCGGCCAGGGTGTACCCCGCCCCTCGCACAGTGATTGCCAGACATGGGCACCGG